ACTTTATTTACATTCTGCCTTCGTCTTGGCAACGGTTCCTGTATCTGAATTATTAACTGGTTGAAAATGAGTTTTTTTTTCTAAAATTCATTACTCAATATTTATGTTCCGATAACGCTTCTTATAGTATGACATACGGATTCTGGATAAATGTAAACAATTAATATATGCTTCGTTTAGAAGAAGATTTTCTCAACTGAGAAAATTCATCTTTTGCCCGTTTTGCGAATTTTCAATTATCTTACACTTCGGAATCAAATATATGCACTAGATCTTGGCTGCTAGAACAAGATTTTTTGTCTGATTACTTTTGCTTCTTATGACTTTTGTTTGTATTTTCCTACAATTTCACCCTAGTTGCATAGATAAATGCGCTCGTCCGTGTATAAAGCTTTCGTCTTGTTTTTTTACTATCTGAGACTGATCATGTGCCTTACCTCTGGAACCGTGTTTTTTTCAAACACAGTCCCCACTCCATGTCCAGTAGAAATGATTCCAAGTGGATCACCAAATTGCATACCTTTTTTTAAACTCAATTTCATGTATAAATGCTTCCTTCTTTGTGTGTTCTCAAGTATATGTTCTCTTTGCAATTGAACTGCATAATTTTAGAATGTGGCAAAGTGGACATGTTGGCCGCCAACACGCGCCTAGCTATTACAAAGTACAAATTGTGCATACGTGTAAAATCGATTTGTTATTAGCAATATCTTGACACTTGTCTTGCTGACCTTTGCTCTCTCTGATATGCCTTATTTGTGTAATCTCTTAACTAATACTTCTTACATCACCCTGTGTTTTATTGATTAACACCATTATAGACATCCCTTAATTAAAATTTCGTTTTATTTTCCTTTACGAATCGACTTAATAGGAACCTTAGTATATCGTTTTATATAAATGTTTTTCGCTTGATTTTATTCTCGATCGGCTCCTCGTGTCTCAAATTGCTAGACGATGCCAATGTTTGTATATCCACTGAGCGAATCGGATTTTATTATTACCTCACATCCTATCACTTTTCATATTCCATTCCAGCTTTGTTTTGCCATAACTCACTACTTATATCAATTTTATTTCGGGCCCCGATGGATGTTATTTCCGAAGCAATGCCAGTCTGTATCAGCTAATTTAGTCCCTTCAAATCGGTCATGCTCTTCCTGAATTTTTTATATATTCATTTACATTGTACTCTTTAAACTTTCTCATCTTTCTTTTCTTTGCGTCTGCAGACCAAACGCATACAATCACAATCAAATCCTTCTGTTGGAGAACCGGAATCCAGTCTTCCTGTCGCTCCTCTTGCTATCGAGCGTGCTGCACATGCCAGCCCTTCCGTTTCTCCGACGCACCTCTTATCTAGCCATTCTCTTGCTCCTCCCGAGGTGGTCACGGCTGCGGTGCTTACTGCTCAGTCGGAGGGTTCCGGCGAGGGTGCCCGGCTGAATGAGGATGCGGCAGCAATTTATCGTGCTAAAATGATTGAACAGAGGCGTTTGGCGAGAGAGCGGAAAGAGGAGGAACAGAGGTAGGCTTGCTGGAAATTTTATTTTTGCCTACCTTAAAATGAAGCAATATTGTTCTTTTTTGACCCATATATGCACGTTTTCACCCGAAACGAAGGAAGAAGTCTCGTGGACTGCGTCAACATGAATATCGTATAAAAGCCA